CTTTATTACTATACGCTATGAAAATAACACGTGGTTTAGTTTAATTAAATAAATAAAATATAATGGGTCATCAAAATTGTTGTGTAGTTGATTGTAAAAATACTAATAGAAATAGTAATTGTAAATTTTACAAATTTCCGGTTGCCAATTGGAAATTGAATCAGCGAAAAAAATGGATAGCTGCTGCTCAACATTTCTCATATGTTCAGCCAGGACTTTATCCTTTAGTAAAGTTTGTGGTTAAAAAATAATATTATGGGTAATAAATTGCAAAATTAAATAAAGAAAATAAAAATTTAAGATACATTCGTAAATATATAATTATGTTAAATAGCTATTCGTTATTTTTTATATAATTTCAGATTGTTATATATTTAATATTAATACTGATTTTTCATTTAATATTAATTTAACAATAAACACCTCGACAGATTTTAACACTCATTATAACCTAATTCACTTGAGATTTGTTTTAGTTATTGTGTTTATTTTCCTTATTACTATTTCCAACTGACCTAAGAAAAAATTTTTAATTCAATCTACATTCTGTATAATATGTCACATTTTACATAGAAAAAAATTTTTTTCAAGTTTATTTAATTGTTTAAATAACTATTTGGCATCTAATACATGTAAATTTTCTTAAAAAAGCCACCGTAAGTTGTATCGTTAGGTGACGGTGGGGTCACGCACCCAGCGAATAGCTTAATACAGAAAAAGAAAACCTTAATCGGTCAATAATTGGTGCATTTACACTAATTAATTAATTTTTTTAAATTAATTAATTTTATAAAATAAATTAATTTTTTTAATTTAATTAATTTTATAAAATTAATTAATTTTATGTTTTTAATAGTACATATATCACGTCTCTTAAATAATCTACAAATCAAAATTATTTATAAAAAAAAAAATTAATTTAATTTTAAAACATAAAAAAAGAAGAATATAAGTAACCGCGCAAAATAAATAAAAACCCGAAGATAATTATAAAATACAAGAAGCGTAATTTTCATGGTGACTCATAAACAAGTTTGATGCGTAATGCAAGTAAGTATAGTCCGCTCAACTCGTAATTTATTTTTTAAAGGTGTTTTTTTTTTTAATTTTGTTTTCTTCTTATCTCCTAGTTCTTGCTCTTGGATTGTATTAAAGCAGTGTTATGTTTAGTGCTAACACAGTCGACAGTTTAGTAACAGATGGTAGAGTTAGCGAACTATAATGAGCGCGGGGATTCCCTGGTGACGCTGATGACTAACCCGAAGTAACACTCAAATAGAATTACACTTTTAACCACGTAACAAATATCTTCGCAGGGGGTCGGTAAGAAAACTTAAACTTATAATTAGCAACGCTAACCTCTTATTTTTTTGTTTTAGTAATTTTTTGGACTTACTCAGGCGTCCAAACACTTGGGGTGGTGTCTTCATCTTCAACTTGCAGCGACGCAAACATGTTTGTAGATGTGGATGTTGTCGTTGTAGTGTTCCCCGAAGTATCTGGATCATCGTGCCCGTAATTTGGGTTGCTGTCAACCCAATTTGGAGGGTGATAAGGCACTGCGCGAACCAACCGGTTCTTATCTGTTGGGCTGTTGTTGTTGTTTATCACCGCGGAGTAGATTGGCGGGTCATCGTCCGAGTAGTATTTTGTTGACAAGTATACTTCACCTGAAATTATCATTATTTTATTGTTAGATTAATATTGCACGACTCATAATGCGGAGCATTAAAAAGCGCTTTATGATGAAAAAATTAATAATAACTAGCAACCTTACAGTCACTATGTGACTGCCGTGACTTGTGAACTATAAATAAATAAAATTTTGGTGTATTAAATAATGATTTGTGTTAAATTGCACTGTACTTTCTTAACTATTGAAGTTATTAAAGATATAAGCTCATCCTGATGTTACACTCATCAAGAGCTTTCATTTGAGTACCTACACGCATTTTTGATATATTTTTCATATATACATATATATAATATATATAAATATATGAAAAATTGATGTGGGTACTCAAATGAAAGCTCTCGAAGAGTGTAATGTCGGGGTGAGCTTATATCTTTAAAAATGTCAATATTTTACAAGATATTTGTTAAATTGCACAGTACTTTCTTCACTATTGATGTTCTTAAATATATAAGCTCATTTCGATGTTACACTCATTAAGAGCTTTCATTTGCGTACCCACATGCATTTT